GGGGGGGGGGGGTGCGTTGCTGGGGAGGCTGCAGGTGGCCCTGTGCTCTCCACGGCCCTTGTAGGCATGCACTTAGCTTGTGACCCCTGGAGGAGAGGCTGGGTGGGCTCCCCAGCACTCACTTCACCTTGCTGCCCAAGAGTGCTGGGTGGTCTGAGCTCACTCCTCACCCTGGTGTCCTGGCCTCTGTGCATCCCCAGCCTGCTCTCGTCCTATAGTGGCAGGGACTCTCTTTTACCCTAGAGGGCCGATTGAGGGCACCTGGCCAGTTTGCTTGCTTCTGGATTGTGGAACATGCATTTGACAGGTCTCAGGGTCTGTAGCAGGCCACGTTTTTATAAAGGGGGGCTCGGGCCTCTGCACCTGTCCACTGTAACAGGCCAGGTGAGGTAGTTGAAGAGGCATCTCACCTGCCCTCATGACAGACTTCCAAAGGCAGGCAGTGGGAGAGAAGCAGGAGAAAGTCTGTTGGGTGGTAGTCATTTCATACTGCCCTCAGGATGGAAGAGACTCTAGCACGACAGTTAATCGGGCCGTCTCTCTTGTGTTTAAGGTGGAAAATAGCTATTCAATTTCCGTCCCGATCTTCAAGCAGTTTCACAAGAACATCATTGGGAAGGGAGGCGCAAATATCAAAAAGGTGACTGGCCAGCTTGTTCCTGCCTCGTGGCTCCTCTCGCCCTGCCCACATGGCCCTGTGCCACGCTGGCTTTAGATTTGACGGGAGGCCTTACTTCTCAGCCCTGGGTTAGAAATGTCACGGTGGCAGTCACTTCTCACCGCTGCCTCTCCTCGCAGATTCGTGAGGAAAGCAACACCAAGATCGACCTCCCAGCAGAAAATAGCAACTCGGAGACCATTGTCATCACGGGCAAGCGGGCCAACTGCGAGGCTGCCCGGAGCCGCATCCTGTCCATCCAGAAAGACCTGGTAATGGGGACTTGGCTGTGGGATGGCTCTGGCCTGGGGTCAGGAGGGCCAGCCCCTCCCGGATTAGCAGTGGTCAGGGCAGTGGTCTCTGGCGGTGCTCACGGAGGTCCTGAGCGGTGGTAGCGTCTGACTTGCGTGCTGGGACATGTCTGTGTTCTGAGGGCTTACGATATTTTCCCCCCCAATTTTTGAAAAGTGAACATGTAAGAAACTGCATGTATTTAAAGTGTGCGGTTGGATACATCTGGCAGATGTGAAAGTCCATGGAATTACCTCCACAGTCAAGATAGCGAACTAACCCATTAACCCTGAAATAGCCTTGTTCCCGTTAGCACCTCTGTCCCATGCACTCCCCCAACACCCCCCACCCCTTCCAGCCCCCAGTCTGCTGTGTTACAGTCGATGAGTTTGGATTTTTACGTGATTGTCTGAGAATCATAGCGTCTACTCGAGTCTCGCTGCTCTGCATAATTATTTTGAAACTCACCCATGTTTTCACGTGTCAATACTTCCTTTTTTTTAATGGATGTGATTGATGTACAGCATAGTAGGTGGTTCCTGACAAGACGTGCGATATCACCCTAGTCTGCAGGCTGGCCCTCTGCTGTTCTGTTACTGTGTCACCAGCTTTGTCATTTTCATATTTCTCTGCTTGGGGTTCCTTAAACTCCTTGGATGGTTGAGTTTATAGTTTTCATCAAATTTGGAAAAATTTGGGTCATTATTTCTTACCAGTTTTTCCTGCCCTCCCCTTCAGGGAGTCTGATTACTGAGTGTTAGGCAGCGGGATGTCCTGCCTTCCACTGGCGCCTTTACTTAGAGAGGCGGTGCTGCGTTTTTCTCAACGAGTTTAAGTTCATTAGTTTTCTGCAACGTCTAATCTGCCTGTGACCCCACCTATATTTTTCACTTCAGATACTATTCACCTGTAGAATTCAATTTGAATTTTTTGTGTTTATACTTGGCACATTTAGCCTTGTCCCTCGGCTTGACTGTAGGCCACAGAGTGAAGATACCTGTCTCAGTGTCCTCGGCCCCGTTTCTACCTTCTGTGTCGTTGCTGGGACGTTTTCTGGTTTATCCTTGTGGTCATTTTTTTCCGTGTCTTTGCATATCCCATGTTTTTTATTACACCAGATGTTACAAAGTTTACTGGGGCGGGTGTTGGATGCTTTTATGTTCTTTCATCAGTTACTTTGAAACAGTTTGCTCCTTTGTTAGGTGCGACCAGGGTGGTGCTGGTGTAGGTCCAGGTATTCCCGCTTGGGGTGAGACCCTTCTGAGCACTACACCCAGATCCCGTATATGTGGACACTGACCAAGCTGCTGTCCCCAGTCCTCTCACTCTTCAGCTGGCTCTTGCCCTGGCCTGGGCAGTCTGCCTGTGGTGTGAGGGTCTCTCTCCATGTTCTCTCTCCTTGGGCACTGACCCGTCAGTTCCTGGCATCTTGGCCTCCTTGGACTGTCACCTCTGCGTCCTCGACACAGGGGCTCCACCAGGGGACAGTCATAGGGCCCACCTTCTGTGCTTCTGTCTCCAGTGTCTCGAACTTCATTGTTTCCTGGGGCAGATAAATGCAGTCTCTGTTGTTCCATCTTGACTGCAGGCTGAGCCCTTCACACAGGGTTCTAATAGAAAAGGGTGATCCATAGGCACCTCAGACCTGTCTCTGCTGCTTGCGCCTTCTGCTGGCACCAGAGAGGGCCTGAAGGAGCAGCGCTGCTTATGGTCTGGCATTACGGCTTCCCTTCTGCGCTGTGTGTGACATACGCACACGTGCACAGGGGCTCTGGGCTCCTCTGCACCAGGCCTGTTAAATACCCACCACACTGACTGTGGCTAACTCTCAATCTTGCCCTTCTTGCCACACAAAAACGTGGCTCCCTTGTGCCCTGTGATTTCAGGCCAACATCGCCGAGGTGGAGGTCTCTATCCCCGCCAAGCTGCACAACTCCCTCATCGGCACGAAGGGCCGTCTGATCCGCTCCATCATGGAGGAGTGCGGCGGGGTCCACATCCACTTCCCCGTGGAAGGCTCGGGAAGCGACACGGTCGTCATCAGGGGCCCGTCCTCAGATGTGGAGAAGGCCAGGAAACAGCTTCTGCACCTGGCAGAGGAGAAGGTGAGTGCCGCTCCACGAGGGATCCTCTTCAGGGTGGAAACTTCACATACCCTTTCTTTGTGGCAAGTCAGGAAACCTCGTGTACCTTTATGCCTCTGGCTTTGCCATTACTGAAGGGCCTCCTGAAGTCAGGTGCTCACGTCTATGAAGTAGAAAGTCTGTTGTTTAGCTTAAGAAGCATAATCTCTGTACAGTAAAACTCATCCTTCTTAATGCATGTTCACAAACAGCATTGGTGTGACCACCACTGCAATAACTTGTTTTGCCCATCACACCCCAAAATTCTTCATTGAATCACTGTTGTCCCTTTGTCAAACCGTCTCCCAGTCTGCGTGTGGACGCTGCTTCTTTCCAGGGACACCGCAGGTGGGAGTGGCTGGCTCAACGGGACACCTGAGAGGGCAGGTCCTGCAGCCAGCGTTGTGCTCCTCAGGTTGTGGCGCGGGTCCAGACCCTTCCCCTCCAAGGCATTGGGAGCCAGCGTCGATTTCCAGGGGGACACCTTCTTGGATTTTGATTCGGGTTATGTTGAAGCTAAAGATCGAATTGGGGAGACTCTTCAGGGCTGAATCTTCCAGTCTGTCTCGCCAATGATTTAAGTCACTTTTCATTGGCATTTGTCATTTTTAGCATGCAGGTCGAGTTCACGGTTTATTCACTTTTTGTTTTGTTTTTTATGGTACATTCATAGTCCCTATTGTCATGTGTAGAAATATGTTTGATTTTGTGTATTGGCCTTGTTTTGTGTGTCTGGTCTAAAGCTCACTTGTTCCATTAGCTTTTTTTGTGGATTGTTGTGAGTTTTATGTAAAACACGTGACTTGTGAGTGGACAGTACACTTCTTCCTTTCTGATCTGTACACTTGTGTGTCCCGTCTTGCTGTGTCGCCAGGGCCTCCAGTGTGTTGAGTAGCAGGGGTGAGAGCAAGCAGCCTGGCCTTGTCGATGATCTCGGGGTATACTCAAGTGGGGTCTTTTATCAGGTCGAGGGCATTCCCTTCTGTGCTGCGTTTGCTGAGAATTTATTGGGAATGAGTGTTGGATTTTGTCAAAGGCTTCTGCATCCATAACATGATCACTTGTTATATGGTGTGTATATTAGATTAATTTCTTAAATTTTTTAATGTTTTGCCACCCTTGTGTTTTTGGGGAGACCCCACTTGGTTTTGTTGTGTCGTGCTTTACTGTATTGCTGGACTGGGCCCACCTAACCCGTTAGCTTCCTAATGCTTCTGTTGGCGAGTGTCTGTCTGAAGTCGGAGGCATCTCTGGTGTTTTGTGGAATCAGCACGTGGAAGGCAACAGGACTCAGCTGTGCTCTTCCTGCGTTTCTTCTTCCTGCTTATGGCAGAGTCAGCGGGGAGGAGCTTGTCCCTCCAGGTGGATCTGCTGGAGGAGCTGGCGTCACAGCAAGGTCCCCATGATGGGGCCTTTCCTGGGCCCCAGTTTCTTTTCATTTTTAATACATTTTTATTGATTTCAGAGAGAGGAACGGGGAGAGAGAAATATCAATTTGTTGTCTCCCACACCTGCCTCAACTAGGTATCAAACCCTGGGTGTGCGCCCTAACAAGAAACGGAGCCCTCCACCTTTTGGTGCACAGAGCGACACTCCAACCAACTGAGCCATACCAACCAGGGCTGGGCCCCAGTTTCTTGGTGTCAGATGAGGCCCTGGTCGGCTAGGGTCTCTGAGTGTGAGGCTGGGACGTTGCTGGCTGTGTTCTGGCTCACCCAGAGCCCAGGACTGGGAGCACTCTACCTGTGCTGTGCCCCTGCACCTCATACCCCTTAGTCCCTGGCAGAGGTTTGGTCAGGACTGGCAAGACTGGCAAGTGGCAGGCTTGGGGCTGCAGGTCTGCATGCTCTGACGGCCTTCATGCTTCCTGCTGTGACCGAGAGAAGTACAAGGGTGGTCAGTCTAGTGGCCACGCATTTGTTTGATTAGCCTCATTTAGGGACGTTGGGACAGTGTGAGGTAAGCCCCACCCCGCTCTCTTGTCCCCTCAGGCCTCTTGTTCACCTGCTCCAGGGCCGGGCAGGTGGCATCAGGCCAGCACCTGTGGGCTTGATTTCTGCAGCAAACCAAGAGTTTCACCGTCGACATCCGCGCCAAGCCGGAGTACCACAAGTTCCTCATCGGCAAGGGGGGCGGCAAGATCCGCAAGGTGCGTGACACCACCGGAGCCCGCATTATATTCCCGACGGTGGAGGACAAGGACCAGGACCTGATCACCATCGTGGGCAAGGAGGACGCCGTCAGGGAGGCGCAGCGGGAGCTGGAGGCCCTCATCCAGAACCTGGTGAGGCCGGCCTCCCTGGCGCCGCCTGGGCAGCGGGAGCGGGGCCTGGCCATCAGTCCCCCCCTCCCTGTCTTGTGTCCGTGTCTCAGGATAACGTAGTGGAAGACTGCATGCTGGTGGACCCCAAGCACCACCGCCATTTTGTCATCCGAAGAGGCCAGGTCTTGCGGGAAATCGCGGAGGAGTATGGTGGGGTGATGGTTAGCTTCCCGCGGTCCGGCACCCAGAGCGACAAAGTGACCCTCAAGGGAGCCAAGGAGTGTGTGGAGGCGGCCAGGAAGCGCATCCAGGAGATCATCGAGGACCTGGTGGGCACCGGCGCATGGGGTCCTTGGCTGGCAGCCACTCAGAATTGGGGGTGGGCCTGACCCCCACGTGTCCCTCTGGTGGCAGGCCCCTCCCGTCCTCACCCTCCCTGCAGTGGGTGCAGGCTGCCTGTGAGCAGCAGCTAGGCTTCCCTGTTGAGGGAGGGCACTGTGCACAGGATCCGCTGCCTTCCCTCCTCTGCTCCAGGGGGAGGACAGGAGGGTGATGGAGACTGTCACTGAGGCCATGGATAGGCCACAGGACACCCTGGGTTTCCTAAACCAGCCCAAGAACTGGGCTTCTGTGGTCTCCTGGCGCTCGCCTGCTGTGGCCTTAGAAGTGGAGTCACAGCCACAGCGTCTGTAGGTCCTGTCCCCTTGGACAAATGTGGACACCTGCCTTCAGGATGGGGGCAGGGGCTCCGTGTATGGAAAGAGGTCAGATGCTATATTCAAATTCTGTGTGGGAGCAAGCGGCCAGGCAGTTCTGTGTGCATGGACCACTGATGCTTTCCTACTCTTTGGGGAAATGTTTCAGGAGACCTCTCTGTGGCCCCACCCACACCCCTTCTCCCTACACCCCATCCTAAGATGAGCCCGGGATTCACCTTGGAAAGGGGCTGTCTGCATCTGGACATGGCTGCAGAGGAAGGTGGTGTGAACATGAACCGACCGTAGCGTTAACCTTTGCCTTTGTTACTCTCCTTCTTGCTGTGCCCCACCCCCAGGAAGCCCAGGTGACCATAGAGTGCGCCATACCCCAGAAATACCACCGCTCCGTCATGGGCCCCAAAGGTTCCAGAATCCAGCAAATCACTCGGGACTATAACGTTCAGATTAAATTCCCAGACAAAGAGGAGAACCCAGGTGGGTCCCACAGGGAGCTCTGTGCTGGGTGGGAGGCAGGAGTGTGAATGGTCCTGGCCTGGGGAGAGGCAGGGCAGAGGGTTGACTCATGTCCTGGTGAAGCTCCACCTTCTGGTGCTGGACACGTCAGGGGACCCAGGGCTTCCAGAGGCTCAGGCCCCATGGTCCCCAACAGTGGCTGCATCAGTTGCTTCAGGGTGATGAGGTAGCCTTCAGCTGTCCTAGAGCTGGGGTGGGGAACATTCAGCCCATGGACTATATGGTCCTGCTAAGGCAACCGTAGGGGGGACTTGAAGTTCAATAAACCTAGGAGCTTTTTCCATAGTTAAAGTGTGTCTTTTTTGAGTTCAGAGAG